GGGGAGAGGGGCGGCCCCTCCGAGCCCCGCGGTGGCTCTCCGAAGCCCAGCGCTGCGGGCGAGGGTCCAGCCGTTCCGTGTTCCGTGCCCGGCCGGTGCTGTGGCACCTTCGAGGTGAACTTGGGGAAAAAAAAGCCCAAGATTTGTTCTGTCTGTTAAGCACAGAAAATATCTAATAGTGGCCAGTCTTCCAGAAGTTCTTTTAGAGAAGCTCCTGACCCGCCCCCCAAAACAGCTTGTCTGTCGGGAAAATGCTTGAGGAGATGTGATTAATCTAAAACGATGAATGCAGTATTGCCTCTACAACTTATAGATGCCAAACTGAACTTATTAAATCTGTCTTAATTGCTTAAATAGAGCACTGTATTTTTCGCAGGATTAAATGGCCAGTTCCTATGTGGCTGCAAGTCGCACTCACCTCTTCAGTAACTGTTCAGACAGGGAAGGCCCATGCAAAGCAAAAGCACTGTTTGAGTATGCACGAGATGGATGAAATAGTTACAGGAAATACTTAATAAGTGTTGGATGTTGTCTGTAGTTCGTTCAGTTTGTCTACTCTATACTCAATCAGCACTCGATTAATATCCAACAACTTCTGTTAAGTCTTTTCTGAATATTTTTCACTTATTTCATGGCTTTGCTTGTGGTGTGGGCAGGTAGTTCAGTGTAAATTTTAAATAATTTTGCCGACAGCAATTTTCAGTTGTATAATGCTGGAATGTGTTTATTTTAACCTGAGCATTCTTTCTCCTACCTTATCAGCTATCTTTCTTTATTCCTGCACAACCCTTATCGCAGAAGTATTTACTTATAATTCTTTCTTTGCAGGCTAATAGCCTACACAGAAAGTGAGACTGAATAACATGCACATGCTGGTTACTGGAGGAGGAGCTGAAGGACATCCCGTTTTGGTTTAGCAGTATTATTATTCTTTGGGGTGAAATGAAGAATTTGATTCTGTTTTGGAAATACTCAGATTTCTAATGCAACTGAACTTTGGTAGCTTTTTTTCTGCAGTACAGATTCCAACAGATGAATTCTTCTTAAACAAAGATGCAGAACCTGTCAGTAGTAGAAAGCCTTACTAATACAGACACATCACACCAGATGTCTCTGGAAGACCTAGCAGTTGAAGTAGGTGGTACGTGTCTCGATGAAAATGATCGTAACTTGAATGAGAGGAAAAATAATGAAGAAATGATCAATCTTGAAGTAATGCAGCAAAGCCTCCCCATAGTGAATAGCAAAGGGAGAAGTTGTGAGGGGTTTTCTGAGCGCAGTTATAGTACCTCAGAACCCAGCGGTTCCTGGGGTGATTTTGAAGGCTTCAAGGAGTCCTTAGACAAATCAGAGAGATTCAGTCATAACCTTGAAGTTTTGGTGAAGTCAACAAAAACCTCTAGCGTTCGTACGGACTTAAGCAGCGAACGTTGTAGCGCTTCTGCTGGTCACTTTTGTTCTGAGCCGTCTCTACGCAGTGGGATACAGGAGGCTTCGAGCTTTCTAAATGAGGTATGTGTTCACAGTAAACCAGAGACCAGAAATATTTGTGTTACTGCTTCCTACATCTCAGGATTTGTGTCTGAATGTCTCCTCTGTCGAGGATAATGCTGTACAGGGAGAGAAACTGTCAAGCTACTTCGCAGCTAACTCAAGTGGAACAAAAGCAACTTCTTCACAGTGTTTGACAAATACTTAAGTTATCCTGCTGGAAAGCTTTAAAGAATGTAACAAGCTACTTTGCTTCTAGATGCTAGGAATAAGTAAGCTCGTAGAAACGATGAACTTTGCCCTGAAGCACAAGCAATTTAAAAGCTAGACAAGAATGAGCATAGGAAAGAAAAAATCTGGAAGGTGGGTAACAAAAACAGGGCAGCCAAAATTCTGTGAGTTGCCTACAAGCTTATTGAAGTAAGCCAACATAACATTGAGTTAAAAATGGGCGAAAGCAATAACTTTTGTTATTTAATATACTACCTGAATAATCCAGTAGTCTTTCTGAAATTTTAGACTGGTTGTGGATGGAAGTTAATGACACAAAAAATTGAATAGAAATAATTCAGTATCATTCATTTTTTAGCAGGGGATGTTATATGGTCCCATACAATGTTAGAACTAATATCTGAATAAATGATATCATGTGTCCTCATCAGCACAAAAAAAATGTTCAGGTTAAGGGTTATACCTTGTTGCGATTAATGTGTTTCCATGTTTACCAAACATGCATCACCAAAGCCAAGCAAAGTAACAAAAGGAAAATAAGAATGCACAAATACAGAACAAAACACACTCATTCTTATGACTTCTGTCCTAAATTAAAACATTTGAAAAAAGAGAGCAATCGACTGAGACTTCCACAGGGTTAATCAGTAGCAGTAATAGCTCCCTGCTTGTTGCCTGTTAGGTGGGGTTCAATGTGCTAGGGAACTGAGGGTTTTCTGGAGACAGGCTTTCTTGCCCTTGCCCGGGAGCTTCAACTGTTGCAGAGATGTTGCTAGGGAAAGCACAAAGATGCACGTGGGATAAGCTGTCCAGCACTGATAGAGTGGAGATCATGAGGTACCTGGTTATTGGTACGCATAAACAGAGAATTTAAATTGCTCGTAATGCTGGAAATTTGGGACAAGAAGTCTTGTGTTGAAGAAAAAAAGAGTATGTAATGACTGGAGTGGAAATAGAATATAGCAGATGGTTTGGTTTCTTTCCAAAAGCATTAGATCTTAATCTTACTGGAGCCTTTTCTTTATTTTTGCATTTATTAAAGGCAAAAGGAAATGTCCAGTACGAGCTAAGTTAACCATACCTTTAGTTTCATACCTGTAGTTTCAAGTTATCTTTTCTTGTCTCAGGGTAGGGAAACAGCTGCAGAGCTGTTGGAGATTTCTTTGGGTGTAGAATATAAGTGTAGCTCATCCTTCACCCCTGTGCTTTTTGTATTGCTTGTTTGAGATCATAAACTCCTGAGGTTGTGGCTCTGTCTTCTGTATGGTCAATAGAAAAAAATCCAGGTAGGCTGTCAGGGACCTCTAGAGATGATCTGAGGTCAGAGGTCTGATCTTCAATATCTAATGCTTCAGTTAATTAAACTACGTTAGTCTGGAACAGAATCATGTATTTTAAGATGAAAACAATCACTAATTTCCTTGCAGCAGATGGATATTTTGCCTACATGATTGAATAACTGTGAGGATTTTTCATGTGTTCTTTAAATAGTGGCCTTTGTGAGAGGGACTAGTGTGCTTGCTTAAGCACTGGAGTGTTTTCTGATGTAATAGGATATAGAGGATTTAGTGAAAAAGCACGGACGTGAAATTTGTGCATTCATATTTTTATAATTAGTACAAAGCCACAAGGTAAATGCAAATATACCCAAATTTTGTTTTAGAAACAGCCACTGAAGTAGACAGTAATAAAGGTAATAAAAAAATAATCTAGCCTTTTTATTCTGACTTGGCTGAACTGTGAGCCAGTGACTTCTATGCATGTCGGAGCAACATCAGTGGGCTCTAAGAAGACATTACAAACGAGGCAGACCTCGTATTTCCCTCAATTCACACTTCTGTGGCTGGAACTTTCCCCCCACCCCAAAGCCAGGAGCAGCTGCCTGACTTTTCCTTAGGTCCCCTCCCATTTAGGTTTTGGTACTTACTTGGAACGGTTTTTTCCTTGACCATGACTCTCCATGTATGCTTTAGCAAGTGTGCTTTCACAGGATTCTGCTTCTCAGACATCTTTCTCCTCCATAGAGTATCCCTGTTGCAAGTTAAGTCTACTGAAATAATTTACAGATCAGTTTAAAGTATTATGACCTTTTGAGCAAGATTCAAAGGATTTTACCCAGCAGTCTTTGAATGTCGCAGCAGTTGCCTTTCAGGGCAGGCAGTTTAGCAAGGCCTTACTTCAGGAGGGAGCAGCATGGGGCACAAATTCTGTTTCTAGAAGCATGCTCAGGAGTACCAAACCCTTCTACCAGCTCTGTTGAATTTTGCCCGCTCATCATTAGATTAACTCCGTACTCTCTCAGTGTTCACTGCACTTGTCTGAGTTCAGTATAATGAACCTGGAAATATCTCCATTTATTTCAGCTGTTTGAATTACAATTAAATGAAACTGTCAGAACATGGAGTATCCATACTTAGGTTTTTCAGATATAAATTGTTGATTGCTAGGTGAAGAAAACAAACTGACTGGTTTCATTCTCTGGTTTTCACACAATATGGCTGCTCCTGGATTGCAGTCCTTCGGCAGGGTGTTGAAGTCTGATTTAGAAAACCACGGTAATTCCTTCTTTGAAGGAATAAAAGGACAAAGCTTCTGGACCAGATGGCATGATAACATCCCTTTAGGTTAGGATGTAAATTATGCACATTCTTCCTCGTGTAGGTATTTCTTAGTCTTCAGATAACCCTCTTACTTCCAGTAGGCCTGTTTGGATCACTTGTGTAGCTACACTTTGTGTCCTCCAAACCTCCTCCTCATCACTGCTGGAGGAGTAACATGTAAATCTAGCTCTGATTTTTAACATAGGCTGCAAAAAGTTTGGTGCAAATGCAAGGGTAGAGACACATACTCACCCCAGCTTTTGTGCAGACTCACACAGTGCAAGTATTTATTGGTAACTATAGCATTTAGTAGTTATGTTACGTTTGGCTGAATTAGGTGTGTTCAGATATTAAGTTAGCAAAACAAGCTTTTGAATTGATGTGTGCATCAGTTTTGACCTGGACTGAATTAGCTGAGCAGAAGAAGGAATCTTGAGTGCTGATAGGCAAATCGGCCTGTAACTTAGTAGCTGGGAAGCTATAGACTAAAGTTCATCAGAAATTCTTGGACTCTTGCTTCTCCTCCTCGAATTCTAGGTAAATACTTAAACCACAGAACTATGGGCTCAGTCCCTCTCTGCCATTAGTATTAATACAAATTTTTAAACCAATCAATAATACAGTCTCTAGAAACGTAGTCTTTGGACTAGGTCCTACGTGAACTGTGGGGATGGCCTGTATAACATATGTAATAAAACTCTGTTTTTTCTAGGCAAACCACAGCTATGAGGATATATTTAAGTTGGGCTTTCCGGACGTCTTTGTATCACAGTCCAGAGAGAGCATAAGAAGCTTAGATCAAGTACTTGGTGCAAATAATGAAGATGTTGGGATTCCTGAACTTACGAAGACTCAACTTTGGTAATGAGTTTAGATCAACAGTTTAAAAAAACCTTAAAAGTTCCTCAGCAATGACACTGTTTATTTCATAATTTAAAAATCAGTGGTACTTGCAGGTGAACTTAAAAACTTTTTAATCACTATGCTCTTCAGCACAGAGAACTTACCAGTTTTGTGTTGTGTTGTTAAAGGAAATGGATTGTGTTTTAGCCATTGGAAAACAAGGAGGGGAATATATCAAAATTACAAATTCCTGTAGGGTTTTTCCTGCTGTTGGTGTGCCTTCTTATGACTAAGCCTCTGGAATGCCAGAACACTCGACTGGCAGCCTGTTCTTCCTGTTCGCTTGTCCTTTCTTTACAACACAACCGACTTATTTCTCCATCATCTGAGGCAGAAGCATTGCTGCTGCTTCTACTGACAACCTACTCGTTTGTGGTTGTTTTTCTCCCTCCCTAGTTTTCTCAGGTGGTAACTTCTTCTCAATTTTTACCAGGTTTTCTTCAGAATCTGTGGTGCATCTGGCTTCTTTCCTGGGGTTATGTTAATAGCAATTAGTATCATTATCTTAGCGTTCTCTTAACGTTTTTGAAGGATCAGCAGCTTCTGAGCAGTATTGTAGTTACTGAACAGTATTTTTGTGTACGTCTGGGGCCTTGTATCTAGAAATCTGGGTCAGACCATACTTTGGAAATGTTATAAGAATCACAAGAAATGTAGTTAAACATTGAATGGGGGCATCCTTTCGGCAAGTTCCTTGTATATGTGTTACATTTTAATCAGCCTCAGACTTGTGGAGAAATATGATGTAGTATATGTAAAAGGGGCTGCCATATTATAGCAGAGTGCCAAGTACAGACAAAAAAGCCCTGATCTGCTGCCATGAATAACTAAGATAAAGGCATCCTGTACTAAGCAAAAAGCCAACTGGATTTGTACAGGATGAATGCAAGGTAAGAATCCGAAGTACTACATAGCGGGAACTCGTTAATTCTCACTGTCACAGTAGTGCGTGCCTTTGGCTTGTTTTGTAGTACCTACGGGTCCAGAGCGGATGCAGGTCACCCACCTGAGCAGCAGGCTGCTGCAGTGGAGAAGCATGACTGATAGTAAGGAGAAAGGTTTAAGACAGAAAATGCAAAGTGAAGGATTAATAGGGCTGAATCTGCCCTCATTTCACAGAAGGAGTTGAGTAATAAAAGTTGTTGTCATGTAACAATCTCTGAAATATGCTTCTAATGCGCTTCTTATCTGAGAAGCCCAAACATATAGTTATGTTGACTTACTGTTTTCGCTAATTTTCGTGCAAGCTTATTAGTACTTTGGGTTGATAGTTTGAGGGAATGTAGAAAGTTTCAAGTTGCTTTTTAGACCAAGGTAGGCCAGTACACAACTATACGTAGTGAAAGTAACTTAAGTTATATACATTCACTGGAAACTTTGTACACCTTATGACCTCAAATGCGTTTTCTTTCCTAGCATTGATTCTGGGAACATATGGAGAACACTCAGAGACTTTGATGATACCCTCAGCTTAAGACATCCCTGGAGTAAATCTCATTGCCAAGAAAACCTCTTGAGTGTTCTTGGCATAGATGCAAATCAAAAGGTAATTGAACAACGGTTTGCTAGTATGCCAGCATAAACACTTGGTTGTGAACCTCTTTTTCCGTAAGCTGTACGTGCAGATGCATGAGAAGCAGAGATGGTTTAGTGTTCAACCTGGTTATTTAGTTGGGAAGAATTACTGACGTGTGGTTTTCAGGAGTAACTGTTTCAATTGATAATTTGATTGCTGAAGCATGAAGGGCAGTACTGTGTTCAGTTTTGATTTTATGGACATATTTGACCTTTCATGCAGGTTATATACAAAGGAATGACAGTGCTGAAGGTATAGGACCTATTCTGCACTTGGAAGTCACTTTTATAAGCTGTCCCTTAACAGGAGAGAATACGAGACGTTTCTCAAGACAGTTGAACTCCCCTTCTGTTCCTGTCTTGCCCATGGATACATTGGCATTTAATCAATGCCCGGGTGGCTTAAACTTACGTCATTACTTCTTTTCTGTTACTGGAAAATTGTATTGCTTTTAGCAATACTGATGAAGTTGTATTTCTCAGCTATTTTCTTGTGTAAGTTAAGGCTAATTTTAATTGGAAATGACTTTTTTATTAATTTAAGTCACAATTAGATTCATGTGTGTAGAGCTTGTTTTGGCATAAAAATGTTTTAATGCAAGGGGGGCACATGATAAATCAAAATGCAGCTTCAGAAAGTAAAATTTACTGGTTATTGTTGAGGGAAACTTCTCTTCCGGTTATATGCATTGAGATCAGATAGAAATTTGTAAAGAAAAGTTAAATTATGTTTTATTAGCACTTTTCAGAAAGCCAGGATGACATTTTTGATGAATCGAATGTTAGAGATAACGAGGACTTCAGATTTGATGGATTCAGTATTAATGACTGCAAAGGAGTGATCCAGACCAAGGTAAGAATTGCTCTGCAACCAATTCAGAGCACTTCAGAGTACCAGAGAGTCTGTTTTATGTGTCCCTCTGTGCTGTGGCCAGCTGTTCTAGCATATGTCCTAATGTAATCGTTTGGTCCTGACATAATTGTTTGGACGTGGAGTTGGTTTTTGCTCTTTGAAACCTACCTGACAGCTTTAGAAAAGGTACAATATAATGTACTGAATGCAAAGCAATGTAATGTGGAGGATACTGAAATATAAGGTTATTCGTTACGTAAGATGGACTTTAGGCCAAATTACTTATTGATTGAGAGAGCAGCGATACATAAAATGTAGTCAGGATGCTCTGATGACAAAGGAAGATTTGTGTGTCTGTAGAAGGATCAACATGTCGATCACTGAGAATGATGACTGTAACTCGCTCCTAAAATATATGGTAAGGGAGACATTAGAAGCAAAGGCGGTAGAGAAGAAACCGCATTCAAACTTGCATTTCGGATATTCAGAATGATTCAGATTTGGTTTGTTCACTTGAGGAGAAAACACGAGCTACTTAAGGAGGAAAGCAGAATTGATGTTGTAATTACAAGGATTTGAGAACATTACTGTTTTTAGGCGGTGTTCTAAAACGTATAGAGAAATGAAATGGAAATACTCCGTTGTTGGTGTGTTTATGTCTTTGGTCAAACAGGCCTTAATAAGCTCTGTTTCTTTCTTGCTAAAGCAATGCAAATTGGAAGGAAAATTCTGTCATTTGCCATTGCTTCAAAAAAAATTCAGTCGCATTCTGTTTTTAATGAAGTATTTTGGATTAATATTCTTCACCCAAAGTCCCTTCCTCAGTGGAGAATAAACTTGAGCAACTGCTGTTGCTGCAGGGATGCACAGTTTGGGGCACCCTTTCACTGCTCTGTTTTATGCTGTTTACTGCATGGGACAATGAAGACGTGTAACCGTTCTGGGAACCTTGTACATAAGCACAAGATGTTAGGCTGGAGAACATCAAAAGAGACTTATTTCTTCATAATTCAGTTCTGCTTTCTTCAGTGAGTTAGATGAGGGTGGGATCTCAGTAGCTGGAAATGTGTAAAATACAGAGATAGGGTTTAGGCAAAGGAGAAGTGGTTCAAGGTAGACTGAGTAAAAGTAAAAAGAATCATGATACAAAGTTAAGGTAAATGGACAATATTTTTCTGGAGTAGCCTCTGAAGGGAAAGAACAAGCCCTACAGCTTGCTGTCTCAAAGTAAAGCTCGTTAGGAAATGTACGTTGCCATTTCTGATTTTAAGTTAGTTAAATCATGTAGTGGGATGTTTTCCGTTTATCTTCCTAGTTATGTCCTTCTTTTTCCTTACGTGATTTTTTTTTTATTTTATGAAAACTGTATAAAAGTTAAGACTAAAATATGCCAAGTGATTAACTTACTCTAGGATGGAAAAAATTAACTTAGTTTTTCTTTTTTGCTCAGCTTTCTGTATCACCGGATTCCAGACATGGTCATCTTTTTGCCTGTAACCTCTTTTTGAAAACCGCATCATCAAATGGAAACATGCAATATATAACACTCCCAAGGAAGAAGCAAATTTTTGCTACGCACAACCTAAAACAAAAATTTTTCAGTAGCGTTGAACCAAATGCACTTTTTTAATCTCTCTCTTTTTTTTTTTGAATGGAATGCTGTTTACCTTCATTTTGTTACTGGCTTGGTACTATATACCATGTCTGTTCTTTAGGAACGAGACATACTACTGTATACAAGGTACCTAAAGCCACATTATTAGAAGATATTTATCCTGTTTAGTTCTGAAGTCAAAGATGTAATTTTGTCCTGCTAAGTTTTGCTGCAGGGTCACGTCTGTTACAGTGAGTCCATCTGCAATCACACTTTAAAGATACTCAGGTGGGCTACTCTCCTGAACTACTGACCTTTCAGGCCTTAATGCCTCTTTGATCAAAAGCCTTGTTTCCCTGCCAAAGTCTAAACACACCCAGGGGTGTTGTGACATGTGCCTTGTCACCATCTCTCCTCATACTTGGTCCAGTCTGGATCAGCTGAGATCTGTTACTTTGCCACTGCTGAATGTAATGAGAGGAGTCTTCTATGTCTGGTGGCTTTCGCCGGGGTTTAGGAAATTAAAATTGGTTTAACTTCTGTCTGATAAAGCCTCCTGTGGTGATATGGGTAGAGTCAGTGAAACGTTTTATTCTGGCATTGGTTTCTAACTGAAATAAATCGCCTCTCTGAAGCTGATTTTAGCAGGACATCTTGGATTCATTCAGCTACCGACACACCACATGTAACCACGCTCGTTAAAGCTTAACAGCGGTGTAGTTCAGCACTTACACTGCACAACGCTGTGAACTGCTGCCCTTTTAAAATTTTATAGTAACTGCTGACTATGCTGCCCATCTTCCTGCGTGCTTGAGTGTCAGAGGGGATGCACTTCACTATCATTCAGATAATCCATGGCGCTTCCTTGCCACCTGCAACAGCTTTATTTGCTCAGTGGTAATCACTTCTAGGCGAGTTACTAATCTATTTACTGCTTTGGCCATTCTGAATATGAGAACTTTATATGGCTTTTTATTTTAAAGAGTTGCTAAGCACTGCGACTGATGCTCTGTGTTAAAAGCAGGGAACAAACTTGGAGATTCCAAAACTAAGTCAGTTAATTTAATGATGTCCCTATTCTGTTCTTAAAAATACTGTAAAGTGCTGGCAGACTCCAACCCTTAATCTAGTAAACTGTTCAGCAGTGAAATTACAATTGCTATAATAACTTACAACTTCAGTAATGTTTATGATACCTCAGTGCTATTAGCGTAGGATGAACTGTGTCTTGGTTACTCAGTACGTGGTAACAGGCCATTTGGAAAAGTGCTATTTGAAAGTGGCTCAGCAGCTTCCCTGGCCCTAGAGCGAGTTCGGCAGTGCCAGGCTGAAAACTCCATGTGGATGCAAGAGCCGGGTTTCACTTTTTCACTTAACGCTGGATTTGAATTAATTTTCAATTCCCCTTGTCAGTCTTTCAGAAAACTTAAACACGCATTAAATAGGTTGTTGTCATAAACTCACAAAATAGTAAATTGCCGATGAATGACAAATGGATAGTTGAGGTTAGTAATAAACAAACACTATAGAAATCAACTGAAAGAACAAACCCCATCTTTATGCTTTCAGACACGAGGGCCCTGCGGGGGCAGTCTGTAGCACTGGCTGATGCACCAGACCCCAGAGGCCCTCTTCTCTTCTGGGCTTTCAACTTTGCCTTTGCCAACATCCGATGAACGTGTTGCAGAATGGTCTGTGCTGTTACCCCAGGAGAAGGGCGAATGCATCATCTTTCCCTCAGTAGCAGTTTCACAGCCCTGTCCAAGGTACAGATTGGGGAAAAAAAAAATACTTCCAAAGGGGAAGGGCTCCACACTTCAGGTCTTTCTTTTTTGGACAGATGCTTTGGGCCACCTTAGCCCCTACTGCCTGTAAACACTGTCTGCCCAGACAACTGAGGGACCTTTGACTCCTCTCTTCAGTCCAACATGAACACGTTCATCTCTTCCAAGAAAAGGACTAGCAGATTTGAGATTACAAAGTAATTCAGTTCAGCTTCAAGGCTGTGGAGTCCAGCCCTCATAGGAATTTGGACACAGTCTGTGTGTTTGGGGGGGTCTCACAAAGAAAATGGCACTGTGTCTCCTAACTGACCAGACAGCATCCCTGGGGAGACAAATCAAATTTTAGCCGACCGTTTTCAGGCGTATTGCATCGTATGAAGTAGCCTTGCCTTCTGTTGTTACCCTGGGAAACGAGGGGTGCCGGAAACCCCTCCGGGGTGTTTTGCACAAATATGGGGTGTTCGTTTCCTCTAGTCATTTCCTCGTTCCTGCCCTTCCTGGTGCCCAGCCACCCGTGCCAACACTGCTGCGCACCCGCTCCCCCAACACACGGCCACGCTCAGCAGGTGGTTGTTCTGTGAAAATGGTGCACGGAGGAAATAAAACCTTCTATCTTGGCATGTTTTAAGCTACAAATTTCATCATTTCTCACCTTAGTTGTGCGCTCTCGACTGTGAAATACTGAGTTTTGATGAACTAAATATGTTACTGTACTCTGTGTTGGCGGAAAGCAAATACCACAGACTTTTGACATTTGCTTTGGATTTCAAAAAGGTGAAAACTAAAGCAAGGTAAGAGTTTTAGACAGCAGAGCTAGACAGAAATGCCTTTTTCTTCCACTAAGATTAGAGGGGAAAATACACCCATGGAAGAAAGTTTTAAAAAGTTCAAATCAGCAATGTAAATTACTGAAATGTTTCCTTTGTAGAAGGAACACCATAAACAGCTTTGCAAAAAAGAAACCAAAACAACCAAAACCAACCACCAAACAAACAACTACATTGTGAAAGACTGAAAATGCTTCAATGCATATTCTGTTCAAAGGTAAAACGTAAGCAGAATTTTAGGGAACTTATTTCAACAAACAATCCTTAATATTGAGCGGAGTGGGAAGGCAAAGTTTTGGGAAGTTTTGTTTTAGAAACAGCGTATTGCTAGTATTTATAGACTTATTTTTAAAAGTCCAAATAACATGTAGAATTTTATTACACACCCCCCCCCAAAAAAAAGGGGGGACATTCCAGACCCTAGGATGATTTCTAAGTGTACCATAAACCCACCATTAGTTGGACATATGCAGAAGACTTGGAGTAAAAAAACAACCAACGAAAAAATCTTGTAAAACTTAAAAGTTCTTTTCAAAGTGCAGTGTCATTACAGGATTTAAAAGCTCTCTGATCTTTTTAATAGTGAAGATCTGCTTTAATAGTAGTACTACTCCAATTTAAGATGGCAGGGGGAATTTGGCCAAAAACGAGCTGCATTCAAATTGTTAAACCCTAAACTTCTCTGTGGATCTGAGTTTAACTTGCCAGATCCACTCTGGAGGCTTCACAGAAAACCAAAGCAATGCCCCCAGCCAGCAGATGCAACAGGCTCACCAGTCAGGTCGAGCAGGTCGTCTCCATTCCTTCTACTGAAATCTACAGAGGAGAGCCTCCCAAATTGTCACCCCACAGCACAGCCAGCCTGGCTGAGCGCTCTGCTGGGATAAATGGGCCCTAATGAGGGAAACACACATGGAATGAAGTTGCAACATTTTTTTCTGTTTCAATCAAGGCAAGATGTTTGTGAATGCTGGGCAAATACTGAAATGCCCAAAATCTTCCAGCTTCCCTGAACAGCTGCGTTAATAATACCTACTTTTATAGACACACTTTGGCATCTCAGTAGCTTAAGTCTTCACTTCTAATGTTGGTTTTCAATAGTTCAAAATTAGTTTTGCAACTAATTATAACTAATCTTCCTCACAGAACTAATGGAAAGGTTATTTTCTTTTGCGTATTTTACTCTTGCTTGAGCAGTGAAGTTAGTCTTTTTCAGTTTCACTCCCAGTACACAGAATACCGAGCTATGCAGAGCACTCCAGGCAGTACCTGCACCTCCCCACTAGCCATGTTTTAAACCAGCACTGCACCGAGCTGCGCTGCTCAGCACACTGTTAGTTCAGATCTTTCAGCGTGGCTCTAATGGTTGAAAGTAGGTGAGACCCTACACCACCTTTACAGAGAGTCTCAACATGACCTGAAAGCAATACTTTAAAAATACTTTCTTAAAAGACTGAACTGCAGCACACCTCCATCGGGCGGCATTTTCTATTGCCAAACTTCAAGACCGCTGGGTGCAGGAGCAGGTCTGTACTGCAGCATCAGTAGTGTCCTGCTCAGTAATGCCGTCACAGGGCTAATGCCACGGTGGCAACCACCTCACAGCCAAAACCAGATTCCTGCGAAGAAGTTACTTCTAGCCCTAGCTACGCTTTTCACACTGCAGTCAGCAGGCTTCAGGACAAAAGGCAGGAAGAACTCCTGGTCTGCAAGCAGCAACCAACACGGTCTCATCAATAAATGAAGTTCACTGCAGAGGAGTCAGGATCTCATTTTAAAGGTCCACAAGAAGAGGACGGAAATCTTTAAACCTGAAGTCGGTGGTGTAATTTGTAGTAGCACAGACTAGCAAACAACCCTCCACTAGCACCGAGCAGCAGTATTTTCATCCCAGACTGACAAGTGTACAAGTCTGAAGCGTCAAGAGTGTGCGCACCAAGGATGCTTCTATGTGCCCCTTGCTTTCAAGCACAACAACCCCTGAAGCTACACTAAGAACTGCACGGACCAGGAAGACTACTTAAGGCAGTCGAGACAGAAATCAGGACAGCCAAGCTCTAACAAACCCATGTCACCTCTTCACAACAGGAATCTCTCTACCCCACGGCTGGAAAAATTGCTCTGTGGGGACAGGACGCACAAAGGGGATGCGATCTTGCAGAAAAAGTCAGTGGAAACTTGGAGCTAACAGCTTAAACATTAATAATAGCTAGAGCAGACAAAACTAGCAGCTTAAATATTAATAGCTAAAGTAGACAAAGCCTATAGATCGTGGTATATGAACTGTAACAACTGTGTTACAACATCGCTAACTACGGAGTCGGCCAAAACCAACCTGGGAGGATGTGATATTGTGTAAGAAGATGACACATAGCAACCACTTAGTAACAGAACAGCAAACAAATCAAACCAATAAAAAGCAAGAAGATCCCAGACCTTAATATTACCATTGGTCCGAGTTATCGCATGAGGGGTGGGGAACTTAGATTGTAAGGGAGTAATTGCCCAGGGGTTTCTTTGTTCAGGGTCCCTCTTCAGAGGCACCCAGCTCCAGCTGTAGCACTATTAATTAAAATCCCTTTCATAAAGGAATCTATCTTTTAGGTTATGTGGAAACCTAGAGTCAAACCCTGTTACGGTGGCTGGCACACATAGCTTCCATAACAGCAAAGCTGTGTAAGGCATGTAGTATTTTGGGGGAGAAAGGAAGGTAAAAAGGAAAAGAAAAAAAAAAAGGAAAAAAAAAGAAAAAAAAAAAGGAAAAAAAAAAAAAAAAAAAAGGAAAAAAAAGCCACTCTTAGGGCAACCACGTAGGGGAAACGTTGCATCTTTATGAGTAAAAGACCATGTGAAGGGCGGCAAGGTAACATGTTTTTTTGTTTTGGTTTTAACACAGTAAAATACTGAAGGCTTCAAAATATAAATGGTTAAACTGCAAAAACTGTGGCTTTTATTTCCAAACATACAATAAATAGGTCCACCACAACTAGCCTCTAACTTCATTTTACATGGAAGGATTTTAAAATTAGTTTGTGCATATTTAAAAATTAAACTTCCCTTTGCACATAATTCCATACATAACCGAACTGCATCAATACCAGCTTATGGTCTTGGCACTGCGATGCAAGCAACCAATTAGAAACGGAGCTCTGTAGCAAGCATTTGAACAAAAATTGCATTTTGAATTGTTGATAAAACATCTACCAACAATTTAATCTTTTTCTGAAGTATACAAAAAAAAACTTTAGCATATAAACACTGAAAAGCAAGTTGTCTTCTCTTATGTTCCTGTAGCGGCTGCAAAGTGAGTAAGTGGATTTATTATGTGTTCGCTATTTGCTACATGAGACAATTTTCATACCAAAATACCTTTACTGCATAGTAACATCCCATATTTTCAAATGCAAAAAGAAATTAGATGCAGTCTTTTTATTTTATCCCTCATCACTGAATTTAAAGACATTTTTAACCACAACTCTGCTTCATCACAGTGCAGAAGGCCCTTAGTATTTCAAGGATTTATTCAGTCATATCTTTAATACAAAAGTAGAGGCTGAGGAAAAGCCAGAGTAGTCTATACACAATGCACAATCTGTGTACATTCTGAAGCTGTACCTCTTCAAGAGCTATTTATACACTCTTCAAACAAATCCCTTTATCCAGCAATTCAAAATACTTTAGATCAGAAGTTTTATATTAGAATCAATACATTATATGCATATAAATACATTTATACCCTTCGGTTGCTAAACAACCCAGATGGCTGCAAGGATGTGACCTGAACTGGTTCTCCATTGGTTTGGGACACCCAATTGCATCGGCAGCTAACTGTTAACCAAAATAGTCACAGTAAAAAATGGAGATCTTTGCACAAGGTAGGTGTGCCACAGCATCAGTTAAGACCAGAAATACTAGGTGACACCCTGGCCCCTGCAATAGGACCAGGATTTCAGCTTCTGTGAGATGCAACACGCAGGCAACAGTTCTTTCCTCTGCCGATGCCCTGTTCATGAAAAGTCTCAGCAGAACAACAACAACAAAAAAACCCGAAAAACAACAAACCAAAGCAAAGTTTTTACAACTGCAAATTTTCTTACAAGACAGGTGCTGCAGCTTTCAAGAAGCAAGAGTTTTCTAATTAAAAAATTAAAAAAAAAAAACCCACAAACCAAAAACTAATGTGCAAGTGTGTAGTTCAGAAGACAATAGCAAGGATCAAACAGACCTCGGTTCAAGCTGAAACACAGTACCCACACTGTCTTACGGAGAAGAGTTCTCACTGCAAATCTCACCTGCAGTTAATGAGTGTGCTTCTGTATCTACTTATATACACACCGGCCAGACACACGCACCCCCACCTCCCCCGCACACCCTGCAGCAGCAGCAGCCACCAGCACGACGCTTCCAAAGCCCACGCAGGCCCCAGCCCTGGCGCTGCACCTGCGCGGTCAGACCCCTGAGCTCTCGGACAGCTGCACGATGGTACCTGGTCACCAGCACTGACTCACCACCTACCAGTGAGTATTTCAGACGTATTCAAAGCAGTAAGCACTGGTGTAGCAAGAAGTGTTGTCAACTTTGTTTCTTAAAGGATACAGAAATGTTGACTCTCTTGAGCATCCTCCAAAGGTGCTAGAAGTTTTAAGTTTGAAGCGTTTCTTTCCACAATGCCAGGTATACAAATGTGTATCTTTTTAAATAATATTGCACATAAAAATCATCTTAAACTTTGTAGTGAAAGCAGAGTTGAAGGACAGTGTTTTCCAAAACAGATTAAAAAGCTACCTGTACATAGTAAGTTTTAATTTAAAGAACGCCAAGATTATTCAAAATCTAAGCACGTAATACTGACAGAAAAATGTTAAATTGCACAATCTACATATAAATTACATTTGTAAATACTTAAAAGTTATTAAACATTGAATACCCTTGATTTCACAAATCAGCTAGGTCACTGTCAAAGGATCAGCTTAATGAGTTAGAAGTACTTTCCCCCAGAAAAAAATAGACACAAAAAGATCTGCAGTCTTAGACGAAGCACTGGAAAGAGTTAAAGCATTTCAGCTCAGAGGTAGTGCTAAACACATCCAACTAGAAGTCCATTATATTTGAACTATGATGAAATAACGTAGTAAAATGTAGAAAGACTATAAAATTTACAAAAATAAATAGTTCTGAATGCTTTAGAAAAATGCAAGAGACTTCGTTGATAAGTGTCTTGATCTGCTTTTCTGACCAAAAGAAAGCAAAGCGTGTCTCATTTTTAAAATATACCCATCTCTAGTAATGCGTCTGCAATCCACGCAATCCAACTATGCAACTTGACATATGCCAACCTGGCATAGACTCTGATATTAAAAATAAAGTGGAGACTTTGTAAAAGATCATCTCATATGAAATTTGTTTTGCATGTAAATTCTTCTGACAAATTAAAAATTGCACATAAAAAAGTTTATTGAAAGAGGCATGAGGGGTGATAAGGGTATGTGCCTATTGTTCCACATACACCCTGGAAGGAAAAAGATGATTGCACAGTTCTGATAAATAAATATTTCTTTTTTTAAAAAAAATCTGCCACTTTTTTGGTTTATAAGTTTTGGAATTATTTAGAAAATTCCACTACAGACAAATTATTTTTAGTTTGTGTTTTAAAGAATTCTTTACAACTTTTCCAGTGGCTTTTATCCTGAAACCAAGTGAAAGTGGCAGTTAAAAAAGTATCTTTGGGTAAAACAAGTATCAGGATCCAACCAGAATTTCCATGATGTGGTCCAACTCACTCAGATCTGTTCTACATATCTGAATGTTGCTTGCTGAAGAAGAATTACAAGACGGAAAGGTTTTCAATGGTTCTTCTGTAGCAAGAGATGGTGGTCTGGGCGGCATTAGTGGAGGGCAACAAAAGTCTGAATCGTACATCGACGTGTCAATATCTTCAAAAATGTCATCTATTGCCAAATCCTTCAGGTAACTGGTTGAATTTGAAATCTCAAAGGAACCAAACACACATTCAGCTCCCTTCAAATCCTGTCTATCATCTTCTAGTTTTAGAGCGGTATTTTCTGGAAACTTTGGCTGGTCATCTCCAGTAGGAACCAGACAAGTAGGCGGGCTTATATCTTCTACAAAGTCTAAATCCTTCAGAATAGACGAAATAGCAGATGACATATCATCATCGGAAACTATCAGCAGGCTATTTTCAATTGGGTCTTCTACAGACCGCAGGTCGCAACAGTTAGACTCTTGCTGACTAATACCTGAAGGCAACTGAAGAGAAATCCCAGATGACTCCATCCCTGGGTAGCTATGAGAACTAGGAGTAATGCCAGGGCAGACATTAATTGGTTGCTGATTACTCTCTTGTCTCATTTCCTCTTGAATTTGCCGTACTGTGTTGGCTATGAGGACAGAGCGGTGCAAGTTCGGTTCCACCAGCATTTTGTACGTCTGTAACTTGGTGAGGCACATATTAAGCACCAACTGCCTCTTAAGCGGATATGGCAGATTTCGACTGGAATCAAAGGCACTCGAGAGACCAGCCATGTTCTCCTCATAGTCACTCAGCTTGCGTTTTAGACCTCTCCCCAACATGAACCTGAAAGAAAGAAATTACTAATTAACCTTGGGAAAGACTATCACTACTTCTGCAAGATCTCAACAGACACTTTTGAAAAGTCTGTAGCATACAAGGTACTGGTTAACTTAAGACTCTAATGCCATGAAATGAAAGACAGAATAAATTCCTACACAAGATACTACTTTCATTGAGAAGATGCACTTTCCAGCTCTATTGTCTCACAACAATTTCTTTAAACAGAAAACACGAAGGAAATACAGTAACCATTTTTTAAAAAGCTGTATACTTCTAAGTTTTGGATTTAAGGTTTACTACTAACTCTACTATGAGAATATGTATTTAATTATTTAAAATCTTTGACAAGTGTGCTTTTTAGTCTCTTATCCATTTGAATTAGCATACAAAAGTCATTAATGAGATATATCTGAACGTCCACGTAAATAAAACAGACGCTTATACTAAGAATTATAATACCTATACAGAGTATTTCAACATTTTCATTCTAACACTCT